ACCTAAAACTATTATATCAGCTGCAAAATTATTATTATATGTACGCCTACACTGCACTTCACAATGGAAATTAACAATGTATATTTATATAAACTCTCAAACTTGTAAATAAATAAATAAATAAACAAATAAAAGAGGATAATCCCATTAGTTAAAACTAATCTTCCTGAGAGTCCTCAAAATAAATCACCCCTAGATTTTTGTGGGGTTCGTGTTGCTCGGTCTTTAGTTTTCTATGCTGTGTTTTGTTTAAAACAATTAAGAAAAGATCTTTTAGATAGACTAGGGTGGTTCTTTTCCTTGCACCATACGGGTATCTTAGTCACCTTTGTTATATCTGTCTGAGCCAAACAGATGAAGGACAGGGAACCAGCCTTTTAGATAAGCCATTCTCCAGTGACTCTCTGGTACAAATGTTTTATCAACAGCTACCCTAATGGTTAGGTTGGTATATATAAAGTATCCACATGTAAAATGGATACAGTAAATACTTGATCAATGATCATTTAATTTTTTCAAACAGCTTTTCGCTGATATATACACATTATTATCTTTATATATTATTATATTAAACTTGCTTTCTCTTACCCATTATGTATTCTTAGAAATAAACCAACTGTTTTAGAGTAGATTGAGCTAAAATGTGGAAGTGATCGAATCTTTTTGTTTGTTTGTTTGTTTTTATTTGTTTTACTGTGTAAAGTTGCTTCCAGCTTGAGTATAGTGTATTATATTCCAGCTACAGTCTGCTATCAACTATATATTACTATATTATCAAATTAACCACAATTCCTTGAAAAAGAACTTACTAAAAGTTTAACAGAATTGCAAAATATTATCTTACAGCTATATGATGGTCAGGTGGGAATTTATAGAACAGAGAATAATGGACCAATAGTGCAGAAAAAATGGGCCAAAAAATAATGAAAAGAGAAACTTGACCAAAAAAATAAAATAAAGAGAGTAGAGAATAAGGAGCAAAATAAATAAAGAATAAAGAAAAGTGGATAAAATTTTAAAGAATATAGAAAAAAAGATCCCTCAATCCAGCCTCTCCGAGGCTATGTTATTGTATATAAAATATATTCCCAAAATGATCTTTTATTAATGTTCAATAAATCAATGTTACAATCATTATGATACATGTCAGGTATTTTTCATTAACGTTAGGATTGCGAATTCGTTCATGTCACCCCGTAATATTTATTGGTGTCTTTTTTTCAAATCTGGCATAAAACTTCTTTTCGGAGGTCGAATGATTCGGTAAGTGAATGCTACATATCGAGCCGCGTTCTTCTTCGTTTCCGAGTTTCAGTGATTAACTCAATTCATAGACACGTTAAAGAGAGCTAGCTTGTGATATTTTTTTTTTGCTAATGCTCTTCTTGGAAGCTTCTTGTGTGTTTCATCCATTCGTATAAATGTATGAAGAGCAAGATGATCTGGTTACCATGACGATAGTGTTAGAGCGGATATTAGCAGACAGCTGGTTGTAGACCTTGGTAATAGTGTTAGCGGTGTGTTTGTTTGGTACCCAGACGTGTAAAATCTGTTTGCTCCATTTTTCCATAGAGTTTTTACTTGACTGAATTACTCCTGAAATAAAATAATATAAACAATATTGAAAAGACCGTGAAAAATTTGGTAAAAGCGATGGTTTGTTATACAGTTAAAGAATGATTGGCATTTAGATATCAGATATACTATTTTACGTGTGGTGCAAACCACAACAGTCTTACCATAATTGGCATCAGTTGGGAAATGGTTTATTTACATATCTTTTAATCCTATAAATTCCAATGTGGAATCTTTCGCTCTCTTTTGTTAATCAAGGCATTCTGTACACTGTCAAATACCGTGCTACATATATACTAGTATTATATATTTTAACTCTCAGTGTACAATTCCTATCGATGAACAAGCATGTAACGGCGTGCCAAGGTTTCTTGTTTTTATGCTTTCACTTCTTATCTCTACTTTTTCAAACTATAATGAAATATTGAACTAATTGTGTGTATATTGGCAGGGACAGATCCATCGATCAAGGAAAGTGAGGAATCAGTCTGCAATTGTAAAAATCGAGCAGAGAGTAGCGAAGAATTTTTTTCAAAGTTTCTATGCCAAACAATTGTTGAAAGCAGATGCAGATTTAGGATTTTGAAAAAAGGGGGGGGCACGCGGCCACCAAACTAGACAAAGTTTGGAGTGGAACCGGTAAAGATTCTGGATTAACCATAAATGTAGATAAATAAGGGAGGGGCGGAGAATGGAAACGAGGGAATGTGTCAAAGAGACAACCACACGACCAAAGAGCAGAAAACAGTCCTAAAATTTGTGTTTTCTACAAATATCCAGTCTTACTTACCCTTTAGTTTTTTAGTCAGTAAATGGTGGGCATCTTCTTCTGTGTATTGCCCTCTGTACTTCATTGCCCTGGTTACGGACACGCCCACTTTCTTGTCGAAAATTTTACATACGTAGTCAGTTATTGAACCTCCTTCTGGAAAATAACTAACTTCCATCTCGGTCTGAAAAAAAAATACAATAGAAATAAATACTGGAACGACAAAATAGAAAAAAAAGAAAGACGATGGTACAAAAAATAAGTCAATGTAAGTAAAAAATTATGAAAAGAAAATAGACGGTCAAAAACACTAACTAATAAACTAGACTGAGCAACATAATACCCAACCAAGACTGTGTGAACTCATTTGCCCAGGACATTAAAGGTCAGCAATTAAAATATAGATATACAAAATTGATTTTAAAATTAATAAATCCAAATATCTTCCGGACATGTAATTATAATACTGAGTCTATCTTAAAATGTCACGGTTTTTTTCCTATTATATTTATGTGAGGTTCAATTACGTCATTAATTTTTCAGCTTTGTGTGAATTTGTTGTATTTTTAATCACAATATCACGTGTGATGACAAGATAAGAAAAATTAAAAGTATCAAAATACAATCAATTATACTATATATGTGTCATACAAAATTTAATTATAACTGTGAACACTCACTGGATAAAGGTTTCAGGGGAAAACATCGCCTATTTTTTTTAAATCCGAAATAGGGGGATGTTATTCATACAACCAGAAACATTCATTTCAGGTAACATTTAATTAATGTGTATATATATATATCTTGATTATATTTGTATTGTTATAACAAATTAATATTCTAGGAGTTATATATAGTACATTATTTACCTTCAGTAATTCAGCCTGGCATGCCTTGTTGAGGAACTCGAAAGATAACACTTCTGATATAACAGAATTTCCTCCTGCATTTGGCACGTCTCGGATACGCTTGGCAGAATTTGAAATCATCATTTCTGTGAATTTCTTATTTGGGACGAAATCTGAATGTATCAGTCCGCCTGTTGAATTATCTTCTAGGAATTTCCAAAAATTGAAATTTTCATGAAAATGAACATTGAAATTTTCTCCTATATACATATTAAACGGTTCAAAATGAGACTTAAATGTACACTGTTTTCTTCCTGCAGTGAAGTTCACTTCCCCATGCACAGATGTGGATCGGTAAAATGTCCCACTCTTCTTGTTGAGGCCGGCATTTAGGGGAGACCTGATGGTGAGGCGAGTTAGAGAAAAAACGATGTCGCGAGGAATTCCACATCGTTTTGGAAGACCCTCGTCTGTGCTTACGGTGGCGTGGTGGGTTGTTGATCATTTTGGGTTTGGCTCGGTGGTCTAGCGGTATGGTCCCTTTGTTCTTTTTACATGGATTTCAGTTGAGTGATGAAATACCTTCTACCCGCATTTGTTTATATACAAACCACTGGGAATCACCATGACGCATATTGATATTTTTACATTTAGTTATATTTATCTGACCAATCGGAATAGGACTTTAAAAACGTCATTCGCTATTTTTAAGATATTTATTTTCGTTTTAAATATAGAAATAACGTACGGGTTCGTTAATCTATCTGTCAGCTATATTATAATTAAATAAATTAGATAAGAATGATTTCATGTATGTTTCAAAAGAAAATTGTTCAAAAGAAATATATCAAAAATGAAAATAACATGTTTACAATCAATATCGTATTTCTGGTGGGTCACAAGGGGAAAACGGGTTAGTCGAAATCCATACTTTCGTTATTGAAAAATTTCTGATTTTTTTAAAGGAATATAAAAATTAAAATTTTATCAATAATCGAACCCTTTCAGAAAAAAAAAGTGTGTTATATATATTTTTTTTTGTGACTGTTGAAACCGGTGAAAAAATCTTTACTTCAACACTAGAAGTAAACTTTATCATTTAATATGGTTACATTGTACTACGACCAGATATTTTCATAGTTGATTTTTTTTCCACTGAAAGTTTTGTGAACATTTCAAATTTGATTAAAACATAATTTCCTGGAATGTCAAATCAGATATACGATTTTTTTTATTTAAGTCAGCAACGATAAAATGTGATCTCTCGCTTGATTGAATTGCAGCTGTTGCAGAAGGGAAAAAATCCTGCGTACACGATATGCTATAAAAAAAATGTTCTGATTTCATATGAATATTATGAATCCAAACTGGTAATTTAACTTCGTAGGGAAGAAAGTAAGTATATAAGTAAGTAAGCAAGTATTATTACTAAGTAAGTAAGTAAGTAAGAAAGAAGTGAGTGAGTGAGTGAGCGAGTAAGTAAGTAAGTAAGTAATTAAGTGATCAGTAAGTGAGTAAATTATTTATTATAGTGATAAGTAAGTAAGTAAGTAGGTACTTTTTTTTTTATTATAGTGAGACGTGTAATAACAATTTGCCATACAATAATATACACCCGACTATTTAGGTCTATTGATCATTTTTAAAATCACAAACAAAGTTGTATATTTCGAAAAAATGAGATCAAATTTATAAATGGTAAATAATAATGAAAAATGAAAAGACAAAAATAGAATTAAAGATTAAATCAACTGAATTGCCACCCTATCCTATACTTATTTGCTTCTTGAAGAAGAAAATTATTAATGCTGTTAGTCTTCTTCAAGGTATAACAAAGTATACTGTATAGACCGCACAGTACGCTACGGTACGCTGTTAACAGCTTGAAATGAATATAGATCTATATAGCTTTCGGCTGTCTTCGGAAATGGTATCGTGTGGTTCCGAATGTCATTCTCAGCATCCCGCTACTTATTCGAAGCGTTTCTGCCATTGTTTTTATCTCGTATTTAACAGTTTTCGTTCCGTTCAATTTCATCTTTCTTCAATTTCATCTTTCATACACATATAATTTTTGTACAAGTACCAGAGACATGGATTCAGAGGCTGCAAATAATATTGTAAGTATAGCTTTTAAAAAATTTAATAATATTGACAGAAACAAATATGACCATGCGGTTCTTTCAGACCAAAGCGTGTGGTCCTTGTACTTAATGCCAAAACATGTTTCAGACTTTATTTTAAATTCCTGGAGTAGAAAACGAACGTTAAACATGGCTTTTTACTTGAGAAAGTAAATATTTTAAAAGCTTTTTAGAAATTCATATGGTACATTTTACTAGACATTTTCTTTTGTCGCCATTATCCCCACAGCTATGTTTGACTCTATGTCCAGAATGTCTTATTAGACCCTTCCAGAGATTCAGAATATATGACTGTACTATACTTTTGATCACATTTAATTGTTTGGTTATTATTTTTTTCGCTTTTTATATGAACATTCATGATAGTTTTTCGGTTATTAGTTAAACTCAGCTAAGGGGCATAATTCAGTGTTTTTAAACAAGAAATAACGGGACATTAATTCATTATACTTTCAATTCAATTTTCTTTTTATGCTAGAAACATGAGAAAAGAAGTAGAGAAATTATTGACGATGAAACCCTAACTCTTTTGGAAGAAGCCTGGAATGATGGATTAAGATCTACAAAAGAAAAGGAAAAGATAAAAGCATTAGGGGTTCAGTCTAATCTTTCAACAGAAAAAATTGAGGTAAAGTGGATTATAGTGGTGTCTAGGCCATGCATTCAGTACTTATCACCATATGGAGTACTTATAGACACATGTATCATTTCGTGCACTTTTCTCCTCATAACAGCAGGTAACTTTTCACATTCAGAATGTAAATTTATGTAGGATTTAATAATGTCTCCCATGAAATAATGTCCACCAGACATTAATTCATAGTAAATACTGTCCATGGACAATATTTACTTATTTAAATGTGTCCCGGACACAATTTCCTATGAAAATATGTCCTTAGGTATGAAAAAGTGTCCATGAACATGGACATTATTTAGTACTATAATTCTGTCCAGGTGGACAATTTTTTGATATTATTAAAGTATTAAATGATATCCATTGCCTTGTTATTACTGGACGTATTTTAACCTATAATTGCGAACTTTAGGGAGCTACCATTTGATTTTTATGGGGGGGGGGGGGGGGGGGGCTAGGATAAAAAATGTTGTCCTGCATTTTTTTTTAGTTGTTATCTCTGTCCTGCCTTTTTTATTTTTCACTCTAATCGGTCCTGCCTTTTTTTTAAAGTTTATCCTGACTTTTTTTTACCTATTATTGTCATCCTGACTTTTTTTTTTGCAACTGTCTCATCCTGCCTTTTTTTTTACTCAAAACTCCTGTCCTGCCTATTTTTTTCAAATTTCATGATTTTCATCCTAGCCCCCCCATAAAAATCAAATGGTAGCTCCCTTAATACATTATTACTTTGAAAGAGAGATGTCTCATTGGCACTCATACCATCTTTATCTTCTTATTTATATTTTTTATTAACAATTACTACGAAAAATTGTACTGTGTAGGTGGACCATATTTCATAACTGTTGCTGTAAAATGCTGTCCACTTAGGGGACAAGATTTCATGGTATTGGACATAATTTAATACCAAAATTCTATATTTTTTTTGCCTTCTTCTCACAATAGATATAGTAAAGTTCGTCACATTTGATATTATACTTTACACACTTCCTTCTTATTGTCATTAGCATTAGCTGGGTATTTCTTCGAACTTAAATGTCTCTATACTCACTTCCATCCATTATTTGTTTGTTTACATTTGTATAATAATCAATTTCTTATTGTTCAGATTTTATTCAAATTTAAGTATAATAAAACTTTTGAATGACCTTTGTATTACTTCCCTTGGAGGACACAATTTTTATAGCAACTACTATGAAAACTTGACCTGTGTATGGACACTATTCCATAACTTTTGCAGTAAAAATCTGTCCACTTGAGGGACAATATTTCATGGCAATGGACATTGTTTAATACCAAAATTCTATGAAAAACTGTCCAGGTGGAAACTTTTTCACAGGACACTATTATGTCTTACACAGTTACATGGAAATATAACAATAATTAAAAAATTATTGTTACATTGGAGACTAATTGCCGGAATGCAGGGTTGGATTAGGAACTGATTAATTACAAATGTAACAATAATAATTTTTTAGTCAAAGACAAGACTTTTGTTTAAAATTACACATAATTGTCATAGGTACTTGGGGGGACAGGACAATTATTTTCGCTTTTTCAGTCTACTATGAACACACATTTACTATTAACATGATAAATAGTGTACATTGTACCTGCTATTTACTATCCATTCCAAGTTTGCTATCAACATGATCAACAGCGGTCATATATCATAAAGAGATTAAAGTATATGGTCTATATCTGTTCATAGTATACAGCAAAACGCAAAAATAATAGAAAACTAAAAAATAACAGATTTTGAAAGGGAGGGCTAAAAAAATTGTCCTGTCCCCAAGTACCTAAGACTTTTGATACCTTTCCTGAAATTCTCCAGTCATTAAATCTTTTAATTAAATTAGTCGTACAACAGTTTACATACTTTCAACCACACTCTAAATGCCAGCAATTTTGCTGGACTGGTGTATTCTAGGATTATAAAACATACTTCTTCTTATATCTATTTACTAACTTACTTATCAAAATACAAATATGTACCAAATATCAACTTGTCTACATTCTAAGCTTATGTCATGGTTAACACATCAGAATATAAATGAAATAGAAAAAAATCAGATATATTTTTTAGAAAATATTTTGTGGAATGCATGTAAAATTTAAAGAAAAAAAAAATCATAAAATAGAAGTTCAGAGAAACAATGTGGTAATCCAATTATTCTAGTGATGAAAATTTTAGCTGTACGATTTTTCTCAGAATAACACAAAGAGTATTGATTATTGAACTGAAACCAGTCTTAACTCAATCATGAATACACCAGAAACCTGTCTAAACTAGACATTGCCTTAAGTCCAGTTATTATAGTTTGAATGAATTTTGAACCTGTGTAAACTGAAATAAATAAAACCTTCAGTGCGAAAGGTTTATAAGGTTTCATTGTAAATAAAAATACAATACTATGATTATTTAATTAAATCTTTATATTTAGGTGTGGATTGGTAATAGAAGAGCAAAGGATAGGAGGGGTGGAGTGGCACCAGCATATAGTAAGAAGAAGGCAGCTGTAAGAGGACCATCTGCATACACTCTGTTTTCAAAGCAGTTTAAGCAAGGTACAAATTGTAAATGACAGTATAGTATTTGTTAACTTTATTAGCATTGTGAAAAATTGAAGGTACAAGTCTAGTAGAATAGCGCTGTAAAAGTACAAGCCCAAACTAAACTTTATATCATTGTATATAGAAATAAGAAGATGTGGTATGAGTGCCAATGAGACAACTCTCCATCCAAGTCACAATTTGTAGAAGTAAACCACTATAGGTTATTATGCCCTCTACCTGTAAGGGCATTCATATCTGTAATTTTAACCGATTTATAACTTACAAAAATTTTAAATGGTCTGTTAAGCTCATTTTCATTGGTTGTTGGCCATGGAGAGCAATGCAGATTAAATTGTATAACCTAAGTTAGTCATTGGATAATGATGGATAACTACACCATTGAAAATTTCAAATAGTCCTTGTTTTTTAACTCACTTGGGCCGAAAGTCAAATTTTGAGAGAAACTAAACACACTAAATGATTCGCAATGCAAGACCAACAATTTTTTTTTCATGAATTCTATTCTTGTCTACAATGTTGGACAGAGTCTATTGTTGATTATGTCCTAGATGAATGAGCTTAAGTTTTTTTTTCACAAGATATGATAAATGTGCTTATGTTAAAGAAACTTGAATTATAAAAATTGCCTTTAAATTTTGACTTTTAAACTTTATCAAACACCCTTTTTTAGGGTTCATGCTGACATATAATCTGCTTTACAGTATATTCAGCGTAAACCGCCAACCAAGTAGGTTGTATCATATATTTTTCTAAATAAAAAAAATTAAACAGTCCTTAAATGATCTAATTAAACTAATACATTGTAATCTATCTTTAAATAGAAGTCTCTTCAAAATCAGAGCATTTTAAAGATGTTGCAAAAAAATGGGGAGAACTTTCAGCAATAGATAAACAGAGGTTCCAAGAAGAAGCTAGGGGTATCAGGAGCAGTGAGCTAAAAGGGATGTCAGAAGAGGAGGCCATTGCCCATCATTTCAAGCAAATTGAATGTTCGGTATGATAGACTTGTTGAATATTTTTTTCCCCATAAACATGCTGTCATTGTCTTGAAATATGGAAAATTATTTTTTGGGTCATTTTTCCTGACAGGAAGCAGAAGCCAATTTTATTTATTAAACTGGACAGTTAAACATTATTTTTATTTTACAGATAACCATTGAATAAAGGTTAATGTCTCAATTAAAACGCAACCTGCTGGTACATTGTGCTTGTGAGCAATATTCCCTAGAGAACGCTATGTTTTGACTATCACTTTCACAAGGAAACCACTATCATTATATGCGAAACATTAATATGACAGTTATCATGGTTGTCACTACTACTAACCTTACATGAAGCATAACAATATATGTCATTTAAGAATCAGAAAGTAGATAGTTTGTGATATACCCACAGATGTTTTAGGAGAAAAATTGCAATATATATAGATAACTGTGTTTAGAAATGACAAAAGTATAACAATATTTTCTTTTTATAATTTTCTTCAGATTACTATCTTAGGATCAATGGGTTTTGAGTCCATGATGGTTGCCTCAAGAGAACATGAGACTCCCCACTTGTTTGGAACCAACAAAGGACTGGAGTACATTGGACAACCACAAGTACTCGATAATTTCAGGAAATCAGTGTTTGGTATATATTTTTATGAGTTTACCTTTACCACTAGACTTCTTAATCATTTTCAACAATGAAGTAACCTTGTATTACTAGTTACTATATATACAAAGCACAAAAATAGTCATAAAAACTATTTTTATGTCCCCGCCGTAGCGGAGGGGCATTAAGTTTTACCCTTGTTCGTCTGTACGTACCAAAATTGGTTTCCATTCTCTAACTTTAGTTTGCCTCCACCAAATGTTATGAAACTTATACACAATGCTTATTTCCACAAAACACAGATCAAGTTTGAATTTTGGTTGAGTCCCTTTTACCGTTCTACAGTTATGCTCCTTTTCAAATGGGAAAAATGCTGAATTTTTGTTTCCATTCTTTAACTTTAGTTTTCCTCAATGAAATGTTATGAAACTTATACACAATGCTTATTACCACAAAACACAGATCAAGTTTGAATTTTCCATTCTAGAGTTATGCCCCCTTACAAATGGAAAAATTGCTGGAATTTTAGTTTCAGTTCTCTAACTTAAATTTGCCTCAACTAAATGTTATGAAATTATACCCAATGCTTATTACCACAAAACTCAGATCAAGTACAAATTTGGGTAGTGTCACTTTTACAGTTTTCGAGTTATATACCTACAGTCAGGGGTACTACTTGTACAAGTAATCTTTATTTACTCGAAGAAGTAAAAAAATATATACTTATATAAGTTAATTATAATGTTTGAATAATCTCCCCTTAATTTTCTCAAAAAAATTTTTTTTTTACAATCCCACAAAAATTCTCAAGTTTTGAGATGTAAATACATGCCTTTAATGATTTTTCCTAGGTTAGCTCATAATTTATGATTAGAGTTCAATGTTTCATCTCATTAATTCAACAAAGAAATTGATTTCACAAAGATCTTAAGTATTTGCGCAAGGCCTTCAAAAATTGCCCCTTGGGGACTTGTTAATGAGCAGTATTCTGAAGATAACAGACAAAAAGATTTTCATTTTCCATGAAATTACACTTAAATGATTAGTAAAGACATCTGCAAAGGAAAGAGAATTTAAAATTCTATTAGAGCAAAGAAGTCCTAAGAATTCAAGAAAAGAAGATAGGATGACGTTTTTACTTATATAAGTGAAAAAATCTGAATCTCTAAGGGACATAACCAAGCCAAAAAATTATTTACCTATACAAATAAATGAAATACACTTGTATAAGTATCCTACAAATTAACTTATGTAAGTATATTAATATAACTTCTTCAAGTAAATAAAAATTACTTGTACAAGTAGTTACACCCTGACTGACCTAATTATATTATCTACAAGCGTGGGCATCATCTGTGTCCCATGGACACATTCCTCATTTATTTTTTTGTAAAATATTGTTGCATAGCTAACAAACTGATTTAAACTCAGAAAATTGGTCACAGGTATTTGAGTGAAAATGAAATGAGAGCAATTAAAGACATGATTTTGTTATAAACAGGGTCTTACTTGGTCACCAATGGTGATAGAAGTCCTTGAAGCCCTTAACTGCCATGATTGCATTTGTCTTAATGTCAAGCTTACTAGAGGTACATTCTTGGTGAAAACTGAAACTCCAACTGTATTGAACCAAATATTTTTCAAACTTTGCACAGTGTTTATATTCATATTGAAGATGTGCATCTTCAATTTTTAACAAATTTGACAAATTTTTAGCATACTTCTTAGAGCTAAGTCTCTTGATTTTTGGCTAATATCTTTAAAATTTATATTATTATAGTTTTGACTTTTGCTGTACTATGAAAATACAATTTTCTTAATAAAAATTTGACAGCCTTATTATCAAAAAAGTTTAAAGAGGATATTGTGGTTGTAGTTTTCTGTCATATTTTATTCAAACAAACTCTAAAAAATATATGCATTTGTTAAAAATGTATCTATGATCAGAAGACCACTAACATAACCCACACAAAGCCCATTGATAACAAAGACATTATTTATTATTTTCTACATGTATTTATTGCCTGAACAGTTTCAATTTTGGACTCACTGAAAAGTCAATATAGGTCAGACATTACACAGGTATTTTAAAAGTTCAGAAAAATATTATCTGAACATTCAACAATATGATTTTCTTTTTATTGAAATGTCTATGGCCACCAATCATTTTCACTTGTATTAAACTTAATTGCCTGACATATTTGAATTGTAACAATATGAGCCAAAAAGCATGAGACTAATTTCTCTGTAAACAGGGTAAAGGACTTAATGAATTTGTGCATGTTGAACTTAGCAATTTTTCAGCAATAAATGGATATCTAATTTATGTTTGCAGGTAACACAGTGTACATGAAACAGCCCAGCAAGAAAGGAAAGGGTGACTTGCGGACTGAAGTGAGACAGATTTTAAATTCTTGCTGGGGTAAGCTACCTTTTAATTCAAAATAACTGAGGATAATAGATATAGAATAACCACATGTTGTTGATGATGTCGCATCAAAACAACTGTGAATGCGTATAAAAAGATATAGTTCCTTACATTTTCAACTTTAAAATTCCACTAAAAATTCTAATGTCAATGTAATAAAAAGAAATTAGCTAATCAAAGAATTCAAATATCGAAAAATATTCAACTCGTTACTGAACAACACTGATAATTAACAGTAAAAACAAATTAACGTGGATAGGAATGAGGACCAAAAATAGGTGGTGTGCATCCTAAGGAAAGTTAAGTATAGAAACTGGCCCAAAGTTGTGATGCCAAACAATTCAGGAATCTAGTCTTTATATTGGTGTTTAGTCCAGAGATTTTTGGTTTGGTTCTGCAAATGTCTGTATTTTATATGGTTTTCTATGGGTGGCTGGCACAATTCCTAAAAAAATAGTCATGCGTCCCTTTCAAAAATGGAAATTATTTCTGTAGGTGGTTGGGAAGAATATCAAGTGCCATCACATACCACATACTTTTTTTTTCTAGAACAGCCCTATGTGACATTTCATCACTAATTTTTACATTTTTAGAAAAGACCACTGGGGAATCAAAGCCAATACCATATTCCTCACTGCTGAAAGGTAAAATTCAATGGAAGCTAGAGGGACTTCCAGTACCTTTGAAAGAGCCCAGCAACTATGGTATTTGTGATTTGAAGAAGATATTGGACAGCAAGGGAGATATTAAATTTGTGTGAGCATAATTGCAATTAGTAATAGCTTCATTAATATAAAAATAATGAGATGATGTATGATTGCCAATGTGACAACTATCCTCCAAAGTTTAAATAAAGTGCATGTAAGCATTGTAAGCAATTACAGGCAACTGTACTGCCTAGTAAACTTATACAAAAACTGTTGATATTAAATGAAAATCAACAATTTTAAAGTAAAAAAGTTGTAATATATTTCTTAATTCAGGATTCTTGTCAAAATACATTAAAGGTTTGATATTAACTAGTGTTGTCATCTGTCAATTAGTTAACCGGTTAACCGTGGGAAGGACCGAATATCGAATACCAAAATCACTAACTGGTTAACTTCATCTTTTTTCCATACTGATAGATTACTGATATATAAATGTGTATTGAAATCTTTAATTAATTTTTGAAATGATAGTCTTGCTAATTCATTTGACAGATCAACTGTCTAGTATATTATTCCTATTGTTAACCATGAAAACACTCAAATTTTACAAATTAATTAACACAAAAACAACTTTTCTTTCAACTCCGGGCGATATCTTTTAAAAGTAAACATAATTAGCATACATATATTTTGGGCAATTGAAAGCTGATTACATTTTACGAATTACTTCATTATTTTTTTGCCTACATGTAAATATGTACCTTCTGTTTTCCAAGGCATTGTCCTACTTTAAACGAAATGCTGACTCAAAAATGGTAAAATTAAAATTATGTGAATGGAATTAGTGTATAATACTATGACACTGTTTGGTATGAGTTACACGCTTAATCATCTCAAATTGAAACACTCAACAGAACTTTCTGAGACATCAGAGAAATTTAAACAATCATCGGTTATAGACTTTGTCATTTCGCTGAGATCAAGACAATTTTCATCTTCATAATCTTATGCCATTGTATAGTACTGAAGACCTTTAAACCATCAACTTAAGTACAAGTTAACCAGATAATTGGTGGAAAGTAATCGGTTAGTAGAACTGTTCAATTTGACAACACTAATATTTACAGTAAATTGTAATTTTGGTGGTCCTAAACCCAGACTGACAGGACTGATTTTTTTTATATATACCGGTAAATATTTATTTCTTCAAATAAAAATTTGCTGTGAAAGAGGTATTAAATGAATAGAAAATAAAACAAACAATAAAGTTTATGTAACCAAATATTGAAACTTTCTATTCATTTACACTAATTAATATAATCCTCAATTTTAGGAAGACACAAGCAAGCCAGAGTGAGCCAGGCAGTGCAGAGGATATTGTGGACTCTATCATTTCAGATCCATCAGCACTGGAACCTGTTCATGATTTAAGTGATGGTATGGCAACAAGTTTATTACATTTTTTATCCCAATATATATTGAAAATATCATTCCTATATAGATTTGATTTTGGATTGCTTTTAAAGTTTTAAAAGTTAACATGGAGTGGGCCAAATTACATGATTAATATTAAGTATGCTTGTAATATACCTATGTAAAGCTTAAGAAGTGCTTAATACATTTATGACTTTTGAATGACACTGGACCACAATGGAACCGTAAAAGGGGAGAAAAAAGGTCCCCCAAAAAAATCTATTTTAAATTACAATTATTTAGATTTAAGATACATCATTATCATAAAGAATTTTTTGTATGATTCATTTAATTATGTATAAATTAGTCAAAAGCCTATTTATTGTATCATTCCAGGTAATGAGTCAGTGACTTCATCTGCAGAACATCCTGGTCAAGAAAAATCCAAAGGTAACAATTCATTATTACCTCTTGCCAGGAGATTCACATGATCTTTAACAGACACACGGTGGAACTTGTTATTCTTTGCCTTTATGCAGTCTGTAGGGGATTTTGAATTGCCAGTTCTTTCATATTTTTATGTGCTCTTTATCTTTTATTTGCCCACAATTTTTTTTTCTCTAGAAAATCACACTCATTAAGTTAGGTTTGCATAGTTGTTTATGAATTATATAATTTTTATACGCCCGTTTACGGGACGTATTATGGTATACCGTTGTCCGTCATCAACATGTCGGACATTAATTCAAAAACGCCTAACCCAATTTGCACAAAACTTTGGTGAATTGTATATATCTATTGACGTGAGCTCCCTTTTGTTTTTCATCAATTTTAGATTTGACGTTTTTGCCCCAACTGTTCTGGGTTGGACCTCTGCGGGCGTATCCAGCTGCGCTCAGCGAAGCAGTTTTTTAAAATTTGTACAGATTTCACTGCAAATTATTCAACAGTATTGCCATTTTAATAAAAAAAAATCAATATATTAAGTGTGGATAATCACAAAGTATATAATGCATTACTGTCAAAATTATGAAGTGTTAGATTGATTTTGGTAAACATATCTGTGTTTGATTGTCTACAAATCTTTGTAGATATTTTCCATAGTTATTGTCAAACGGATTCATGTAGGTAGTTTCCAAATAAGGAATTAATTTGATCTGTTATTAGTTATCAAGTTCAAACAATTAGTTGATCAAAATACAATAACTGCTGTTTTTTAAAAGTTGAAAATATAAAAGTTACTCATTATTTATCAATTTTACTTTATCATTTTATTGGTAATGTTTACCTTAGTCTTGTTATGCTTTCTCCCATTTTGAGATTTATCTTGGTTGTTTATTATTTAGGTGCAAACTCTGCTACAGAAGAACAAGCAGGTCCTGCAATACCAATAGGTAAAGCTATTTTCTAGGACATATATGGGTTCTTGTCACCCAAATTTTTCGTCAGCTACTGACAAATAGTTTATACAAAAATACCAAGATGAAATTTTCAATATGTTTTTAAAAGAAAACTATCTTATAGAGATTTTCATTGAGAATAATGTTTAAGTAAGCAGATTGGTGATTCCTGTGAAAATGAAATTTTCATTGGAAGATGACCCATGGCAGGTCATTACTCTGATCAAAAACACCACATGACCTCATCTTCTACTGGGATAGAAAGTATTAACGATGATTAAATTTATAAAAAACAAAAATAACACTACACTTTTGTATTGAAGAATTATATCTTTTTGAAGACAACTCGGAGATGGTCCTGCTCATTTAATTAACTTCCAAGCTAATTCTAATGTATTGCCTTTTTTTTTCTTTAATTTGGATATTTTTGATGCCATTGGACTATTTTAGAAAGATTTTGATCATATGTTATTTTAATTTATATATTAAACCATACTTTTGTATTATGTAGTTGTTTTGATTAAAGAATTACTATGTTAGTTGAAAAGATGATGATAATGAAAGGTTGAATGTTTTTAATCATGGGGTCAACTTGCAATAAGCAATATAATCTTTTCAAAATTGTGTTTGACTTGACTTATTTAACACTTTCAGAACTAGTTGATGGTCTTAATAACTTGTTGGGGTTGAAAAAAGATGACGAATCTGCAATCATCAGCTTAGGTAAGCAAATAGAGTGATTGGTAAAAGCAAAAAGAGTGATTGGTAAACAATGTTGTAAGTTCCAAAATGAATTTTTGTTTCAGAATTACGACTTGTAATGTATGTGACTCAGCTAAGAAATAAAATTAATATATTTAAGAGTCTAGCATCAATTTTGTGTCTAAATTGAAAATTTGTTTAAGAAATAACCATTTCATTTACAACAGATTGATTTTAGAAAAAGTTCATTGATTAGTAATAGTTTTTTTTTTTTATATTTTAGGTAAATTTGAGAATGATATCACAAAGCGAAAGATGACTGCTACAAGTAAGCTATTATTTAATTTTCATTTGAGTATTAATTTCATTACTTATGACTTGTGTTTTCATACTTCCCTAACTTCGATTGTTGATAACCTTTGGTAGAAATAAGATGATACTAAGATCTCTTTAAAGAAAAAAGACAATTAGAAGGATGACATGATATTAATCAAAGTGTCAAGTAAGGCTTTTGCTTCAATTGTTTAAATGGATGTTGTGATATAATTGTGTGTCATAAGTAAAACTTTGTTATAAACTTTTATTTACAGAAGACAATAAAGGGAAGGTAGCTGTTCCTCCAAAGAAAAAAAAGTCTAGTATAGGAAAGAAAGGTAGTCAACTTATTTCCTAAGCTCCATTCTTGACCGTTATATGGTCATGTTTCAGTTTAAATATGTTTTTGTCTGAATACATTAAGTGTACATATAGAGCGATAGACTTTTTCAAATTTCAACAGATATTTCATAGGATTAGTTTTACCACAGTATACTGTATGTATATGTAAAAAAAATATATGTTCAAAAATTCCTTTGGGGAAAACAATGATTTGACAATATAAGACAAAATCATATACCTGGTCCATGGATAGTTTTTCCCTTTTCTCCAAGTCTTTGTTCATTTTTAATCAAACACAACTAGAAGATCAAAGGAGAATTCCAGACATTAACATTTTGAGTAAAAAATGTTTCAATTTGCTAGTAAGTCAACATTTGGTATTCTTATGTTCCAGACAGATGGGATTTTTTTATTATTCAGTGTGGTTGACAGTACAATCCTGCATTTTTTGTGGTTTTTTTTTTACAGATTTGTATTTGGTAGAATTTAAAAAAAAATCATTACCACTTATTAGAAATTGTAATTTTTTTTTGGTGGGATGGTAAGGGACAATATTTTTTGTAAGCTGTATTCACCTTTATGCATTTTTCCCCTGCCTTTTGAATATTTATAAATACAACGAAACCCCATATTCTTATATTTCTTTCAGATTCAACAAAATATGATATTGATTATCTTGTTGAGGATAGAGATGGGAAATTAGGCCAAGAGTTCCTCGTGCATTGGAAAGGCTATTCACCTAATGAAAGAACATGGGAACCTGTTGCATCATTACCACCAACTGCTTTGAGTTTCTATTGGCAGAAGAAATACAGCAACTAGAAATAAAAACTTTGTATAAATTGATTTAAAAAAAAGAAGATGTGGTATAATTGCCAATGAGACAACTCTTCACAAGAGACCAAATGACACAGAAACTAATAACTATAGGTCACCGTACGGCCTTCAACATTGAGCAAAACCAATACTGCACAGTCAGTTATAAAAGGCTTAATAATGATTTGGATAATTCAGATAGATTAACTTGCAAAATTTGTTTACGTTCCGTCATGTTTGTTATTGAAAATGTAGACAGCACACTAATAATTTTCAAAAAAATTAATTTACCTGATCAGTATTACTACTCAAATATTAACTGATGATAAATATCAAAATTGAAAGCTGGATTACAAATTACACGTTTCTTCTCATAGCATTGCATAACTTACTGGATTACCAGAATGATAAAAGTCTATTAATCAGCCAACCAGCTTATGCATTACAATGTACCGACTATAAAATGTAGTCAGTTATTCATTTTGTGTTGGTGTTTCTTGCTGAAGCATGAGTTTTTTTTTTAGCTGATGATCGTTCTAAAATTAATGTTATGGATAAATTTTGAAATTAACAGAGCTTCGTAAGATGTTTTTAAGCAACTACTTTTTATCGGTATGCGTCAGTCACCATTATGCAATATTTTCTAAAAATGGTTCTTGGTTGTAGGGATATTTTAAACGTTCCTCCCTACCCTACCACATACATTTTAATAGTGTATAATGACGTCAATTTAAGAATTTTCTAACGTTTGAACGTGAAGTTTGCTTAACCCCACTTGCCCATTCCGACATTCTCCTATTTGGATTATTTTCTGCTGTTGTTTTTTTAATGTTTTTCAGGTATATGCTAAGTGGTGATCAAGAAGACTGTAAACAGATCAAGCCAGAGATAATGGTTTTCTGACTGAATGGAGTATCAATTATTGTAGAGGATATTTTTCTACTTGTCTAAAATTACAGAGATATTGCAGTGGTTGTGTTCAGTTTAAATTTTAACTGTTATTATGATAACAAGTTTTCCTACATGCTTTTGAGGATGGAACATTTTATAAATATTGTGTTATTTGAATACTTGATACTGATTAGAAACAGACATCTTCTAGTCAGTTGATGTCTTTATGGTGGACGTTTACTAATTTAGAAAGGAGAAAACTTTAATTTCTAGAATTTCATATATATGTATGCGTTTCCAAAGAAGGATATCTTTTTAATGCATTTAGATATCTTTCAATGTTGGTTTGTAATATCTTTAATAAAACAGTTGTCGCAGTACTCATACAGAGGTGGGATCTGGCAAGATGATGGGGGTCATTACCCTTTACTTCTACGTTAGTCCATATGCTACAATAGTTTACTGTGGTACCTTAGAAAAGTTGGGTTTTTTATAAATTGTTCTTAAACTAGAGCGTCCATTTCATTACTGGTACCAGTTTTGAATTATTTTATCCTTCGAATACCTGGGAAGCTTTATTCAAGATATGGCCTAGTGTCAGTGTGGGGTCTTATTTCCTTAGAGGAACTTTTGTTACTTCTGTTACCGGAAGAGCACCTACTTGCTTATAATAAAAATTTCAGCAGTTTGTATCGTCTTGCCAGACCTCGTTAACTGTTTCTATCCTGCGGCAGATTTTATTCCTCATAGTATTTTTTTAATTATTCAAATCTTTGATAAGAAATAAGAAGATGCGGAATGATTACCTATGAGACTAACTCTACTGTACAAACAATGTTGGTATAGAGACCGTACAACCTTCAACAATGAGCAAACCCATACCATATGCTGCTGATTTTATTCCACATAATATTTCTTGAATTATTGGAATCATGAGGTTCAATTCTTTATGTTTATTTTTTTTAATTTTTTTTTTCTGTGAATATAAATATAAATTTTAGAAAATATTATGAAATCTTTATCATTATATTGAAATTAAATAACTTGAGTTTATATCAAGCGATATCCCATTCTGACTTGTTAGGAAAACTATAAATGTAAAATTAGAACAAATTGCAATGTTTTATACACAATTGTTAATTATTTGACCTGTAATTTATACTGAAATTAAGAAAATGTTGGTCCAACAGCAACTTCATTTTAGAATAAGTAAGTAAATAGTTTATAACAGTGTCATAATGTAATATTATACATCAGATAAAAACAGTATAAAAATACATTAGATTCCTGCCTTGAGGTGGTACCAACCACCTTGACTAAAATTAATTTGGCTCGTTTACTTTTCATAAAATTTTGACAAAATATTTTTTCTTCTTCTTTAAGTTTCTAGTGATCCTTCAATTATTGAAGATTATTTGCTGGGTGTCGACTATAAAATTTTATAATTTACATTGTAGCAAGAAAAATAAAAAGAAACAAAATCAAAATAATGTATGTACATTTGAAAAATTACATTTAGAATAAATAGATAAAACTATATACATTTGATAACAAAATAGTTAGGGATAGAAAATGGGGATGAGAGCAGATTCTGAGATCATACTCTTGAATCCCTGTACTGTACTGCATTATACTATTTGTTGTGGCAGATTATTCCAATTGATAACTGCACTCGGATAAAATGAATATTTATAACTGTCTTTAGAAGTTTGTATTTTGCCTAAATGAGTGTGGAGTGCTATGTCTGGTTCTATTGTCTAGTTGGATAAAATGAATATTTATAACTGTCTTTAGAAGTTTTTATTTTGCCTGAATGAGTGTGGAGTGCTATGTCTGGTTCTATTGTCTAGTGGGATAAAATGAATATTCATAACTGTCTTTAGAAGTTTGTATTTTGCCTGAATGAGTGTGGACTACTGTCTGGTTCTATTGTCTAGTTGGATAAAATGAATATTTATAACTGTCTTTAGAAGTTTTTATTTTGCCTAATTGAGTGTGGACTGCTATGTCTGGTTCTAAGACTATTGTCTATTGGGATCAAATGGTTATATGTAGGGACTGCAACAATTTGAATTATTTTGTGTATAATTTTGTAAAAGAAGACAAGTCTGTATCGTAAACGCCTAATTTCAAGTGGGTACCTATTTAATTCTGTCATTATTTCAGTAACTGAGCTCGTGTTATGGAAGCGGTTGCACGAGAAGCAGGATGCTCTTCTGTGAAATTTGCTGTTTTTTATTTACCTTGACCATTTGACAAAAATATAAAAAATTCAACAAACTTGTACCAAACACTTTCGCTGAAAAATTTCATTGGATATATATAGCAGTTTGACAAATACTAATTTTGATCCTTGAGAAGCTTAATATTGCCTTTACAATACACATGATTAACAAGTTAAGCTCTTTTTTTACAGCGTTATCTTCATGTAGTGTTATGTACCACCTTAAAGACATATGAGACACTTTTACGTCTTGTCCATTATATGCATAAACAATTAAAAATATTTTTTTCAAAATCAAATGTTATTTAAGAGTATAATACAATTACACTCTTAAATAACAGTATAATACAAATACATTTTAAGATCATCATTTGACCACTAAATAGATTGTAAAAAAGTAGTTTCATTGTAAATCAAAATATATTTACATTTGATAGGTGATACGTACAAGAAACTTTCCTAAACCAAACACTTTTAAAAAGACCATGCAATTCACCAATAGAACAATTTTCAATTTGACTCTACCATTTTTGAATGTATTTGTCAATTGGTTTACATTAAATTACATATAATCGTAACTGCTGAGTCGAGCATTATCTTGTAAAAAGGAGATGTGGTATGACTATGAGACGAACTATCTACCAAAGTGAAGTTGATGTAAGCAACTAGGCAACCGTATGCCCTCAATAAGAAAAACCATACTTTATAGACGGCTATGAAAGGCCAAGGCATGAAATTTGAAAAAAATAGGCAGGACAGGAGTTTGGAGTAAAAAAAAAGGCAGGATGACAATTTATGTAAGAAAAAGTCAGGATAAACTAAAAAAAAAGGCAGGACCGAATAGAGTGAAAAATAAAAAGGCAGGACCGAATAGAGGGAAAAATAAATAGGCAGGACAAAATTTTTCATCCTAGCCCCCATAAAAATCAAATGGTAGCTCCCTAACGATCAAACGGATTCTATCTTTTCACTATAACTTTCATTTGTATAAGTCTCATTTCAATCGAGCAAAGGCTACTCAAGTTTTTTAGAGAAAAAAATAGGCAGGACAGGAGTTTGGAGTAAAAAAAAAGGCAGGATGACAATTTATGTAAAAAAAAGTCAGGATAAACTAAAAAAATAGGCAGGACAGGAGTTTGGAGTAAAAAAAAAAGGCAGGATGACAATTTATGTAAAAAAAAGTCAGGATAAACTAAAAAAAAAGGCAGGACCGAATAGAGTGAAAAATAAAAAGGCAGGACCGAAAAGAGGGAAAAATAAATAGGCAGGACAAAATTTTTCATCCTAGCCCCCATAAAAATCAAATGGTAGCTCCCTAACGATCAAACGGATTCTATCTTTTCACTATAACTTTCATTTGTATAAGTCTCATTTCAATCGAGCAAAGGCTACTCAAGTTATCCAGAAACCCTTAATTTCTGACACAGTACAGAATAACAGCCGGACAAAGTATTACCATATGCTTTCAAAATTGTTTCGGGAAGCAAAATAATACCATACAAGAGAAATTTAATTGGATGTATGTATAAACGGTATATACGTAAATCAAATTAAACGAAAGAAAGTATGTTTTTACCTTGATTCTGCACCTTATTAATGATTATATACCCTTGTCAAATTTCCATATGCTTAGCACTGAATAACCACAAGGCTTGTGGTGATTCAGGGCTAAACATATGGAAATTTTATAGAAACCCCATAGCCTTTCCTTGTACTGTAATATTTGACTATTCAGTGTTTGATAGTATGAGGATTATAGCTTGCAGTGCTAGAAACGATTTCCTTAAAACAAGATTATAAATTAAGACATTGGTTAAAACAAATATAAATATTGACCAATTCAGGTATACCTTCTAGGGTGCGCTCGACCATAGTGACTCAGCACGAAGTATCTTTAATATTGAGGTTGTTGTGTCAACGTATATTTGTTCCGCCTAACAGAAGTTCCACTGGAAACTTTGTTATAAACAATGTCATAATATCTATTCATGTTGGAACAAATATTCTATACCATTTATTCCGTTAGGAACATATACTGTAATATTTATTCCTGTGGAAATAATATTCCAGAATATGTTTTCCTTTTGGAACTTGTATTATGAAGGAACTTCTATTCTGTGACAGTTGAGGACTTCTTGAAAACAATAAACGCTAACACATCATGGACAAACAAGTGAGTAATCTATATATTTAAAGTTTTATAATGCAAATATTTGTTTCAAAGTCTGTGGATTTTCTACAAAAATCTTGGTTTTATTTGCAACAATATCCATATTTTCTGTTGAATGCAATAAAACAATAAATGTTAATCCTTTGCACGAAGTTTCCTTATGGTATTTGGTATATTTACAAAATGGCCTATCTTTTATTCATTATCTTTGCTGTTTTGATACTATTGCAGTTTTAAAATTTCGTAACTTGCATGGCTACAGAACAAGTTTCGAACAACCCCTCAATGTAATGACAGCCTGTCATGAGAGGTAAGTTTCAGGTGATAAAAAATATGTTTTATTAAAAACCACATTTTAGTACAAATGAGCATTTATTTATATTAATTGAAGAAACTCTTACAGAACTATACATCTATCTGGTTTTATTTTGTAATATTCCTGGACTTATCATTTAAAATAATTGGACCCCTCTTTAAGAAAAGTTGTTCCAAATATAATGATTTTTCCCCTTTTAAGTTAAAATACAAGCTTTTCTTTTCTACAACAGTAAAATGGTCCCTTGTCTGAGGGACAGTCCCTCATTTAAGGGATATCCCTCATTTTGGGGGTTGTTCCCAACCTGCAGAAGGGGTCATAAACCTTAAGAGCACTAAACTTATAATTTAAAACATAAAATTATGGAAATACATTATTTTAATACTTGACTAAACAAATACTTTCAAATAGACTAGATATGCTCTGCAGCCTTCCAGTTCACACCAAGCTTGACACATGTAAATAACAAAATTCCTTTAAAATTATCACAGAAGCCAAAAGCCTCCTTAAATTAATAACAAGAAAATTCAGGATTATATATTGCATTTGTTATCAAAAGTTGTATATATAATTAGTTTTACAGTAGCGGAGAAAGTGGTTTTCATCAAAAGTTTTACAAGTAAGATATGTTCTTTGGTCTCGAGGTTTTTATAGATATATATGTAGGACTCTGAACCGCGATGGTCACGCTGAAGTGCGATGGTCCACGCTGAACTGTTAGATAAGCTGAAGTGCGTTGGTGGGTTCGCTGAAGTGCGATGGTCTAACTGTGACGTTGTGTATACTAGCTAAATGCGATGGTCTGAAGTTAAAACCCCATTAAATGTGGCGGTGTGGTGGTTAACGTGCTAGCCATTTAGAAGATCGGGTTTTATTTCTGGTCGGGTCAAACCAAAAACTTTGATTTTTAATTTGCTAATTATTCGCTTAGCACACAACAGTATGGAGTCCGATACTGGACTGACAAATACACTGGATGGCTCGGATTAAGAATTATAGATTCGAGTTGGGAGGAAATGTCTTTATATTGAGTGTTCAA